AATAAAACAATTTATTTTTGGTTTAATATTATAAATTTTATAAAGATAATAATTAAGTATTTTGTTAGAATTTAATTATTATACTAATTATATTTTAGATTTTTTATATTTAAAATGAGATATTTATCTTGTATTTGATTGTGTTTATTTGCAGTTAGTTACACGAATTCAGATATAAGATGAAATCGTTTAGGGGTGAATGAGTTTAAGAGTTTTAAGAGTTTTTAAGAGTTTTAGGCAAATGATTTATAAGATAGTATAGATTAATGATTATACTAATTATATTTTAGATTTTTTATATTTAAAATGAGGTGTTTATCCTGTATTTGATTGTGTTTATCTGCAGTTAGTTACACGAATTCAGATATGGGATGAAATCGGATAAAGATGAATGAGTTTAAGAGTTTTAGCCAAATGTTTTATAAAATAGTATAGATAGTATAAATTATATAAAACTAAATAGTTTTTTTATTTATTTTTTATTTTTTATTAATTAGTATTTAATATTCTTAAATATAGAGGATGACATGGTAAGGATTGTGGTGATGGGGTACAGGGAAGCATACCTCATACAAGCATCTGGCTGACATGTCATAAGGAAATATATGAATTTGGAAGCAGGGTTCATCCAACATGGATAAGAGGTAAGATTATGTATATACAAAAGACAAAAGGGATATAAGGTTCTACTTTTTATAATACTCTATTTTTCTATCACACAATATTTATTTATTTTTTTAGATTTATTTTATAAATTGTTTTAATATATATATATATATATATATATATATATATATAATATTAGCAAATATTTATTAAATTAGAGTAAATTACACAAGTCCTATTTATAGTAGTCTTAAACCTTAGCATATTGTCGTCATAATTTGAAAAATTACATTAATACCCCTTACCTGCACGTTGCATACATATATGATACATAATCTTAGAGGTGTTCATCGGTTGAAATCCAACAAAATTAGGTGGATCTGATCCGATCATCCAATGAATATTGGATTTTGTCACTTCGATCTAATCCAATTAACATATGACATTCAATCCAACCTAATTCAATGGATGATTGGATTATTGGATATTAACATTGGTTATCTATTTGATCCATGCATATACATACACACACGTATACATGCATACATACATACAAACTACAATAGTGTTGCTGGGAAAGAAGACAAAGGAAAGAGGAGGGATGGTGTGGGAAGTTAGGTTTAATTAGTTTTCTTTTGCATTCTAAATGCTTATACATATGCTTATAGATTTGTATACAAAAAATGTACAAAATGAAATGCCAAATGACCAAAATACCCCTACATAACTTACATGTGAGGGCCACTTAACAAATGTTTTAACGTTCAATAAGGCTAGTTACCATTCATGTAGGCATCGGAGGCGCTAGCTACCGTAATTTCAAAACTGTAATGGCATGCACAAAGTTTGGGAATACCACAGGGACAATTTACTCATTAAATTATGTGTCACATCAATTTTTTCTTACCAATCCCAAAAATCACCCCTCACTGGATATACAACAATATATCGTATTTATCATTATATTAAAGTTTGAAAATGACGTTTCAAGAATTCCAAAAAAACACCACATGACGAATCTATAAGTTACGTATTTATTGCATTCAGAAAAACCAGTCGACTTATATATTTTTAATAACAATCTTTTGAATAAAATTTTATTGTTGTTGGTTTCCTATGTTTTCTTTGTGTATTTTGAGTACCAAACTATATTGACGATAAAACTTTTACCCAAAAACTATGCTGTAATTTTTTTAAAGTATATAATATTGCATATGTAACAATAAATGTAACAAATAAACCCACTCACCCTTTTTACTTTTGGTAAGTTGTGAATTTTGTTCTTCTGAGAGGATGAATCCCCAGATACTGTTAGACCAATAATCCTTTATATATAACTTATTAAAATTCCACATTTAACCTCCATAAACTGGTCCTAGAACAAGGGCGAACCTGCAGGCATGGGAGCGGGGTCCCATACACCCGCTCAACCTTATTTCGTAAGGAGGAAATTTTTTTGGTACGTAAGGTGCACCCGCAATCATCTGCATTGTAGAAAAAGAAGCGCTTCGCAATGTCAAGAATGATGAGGTCTCATCGAGAACAATTGTAGAAAGTAACTTGTTTTATCGTTGTAATGAAATCGTATTTTTACTTAGAAAGTTAAGCTTTTCGTTTGTGCACTCGCTCACATAAAATCTTGAGTCCGCCATTGTCCTAGAGTCGGACTCATACACGAATAATAACAAAAAAAAAGTAAGAGGATTAAAGGGTGTTTGGGATTGCTTATTTGAAACAAATTATGCTTTTCTACAAAAGCATTTATCAACTTATCATAAGTCAGAAGGGTTTAACTTCTTTAAAAACTTCTTATTATCGGTTTGGTACCGGTATAAGTTGTTTATCCAAACACTCAAAAGTGCTTATTAGCGGTGCCACACCGGAATAAGTCAATAAGTTGTTTTTATAAGCAATCCCAAACACCCCCTAACATGGACCAGAGAATTCATTAAATAATACTTTAAATAAATAATTTCAAAAATAAATTAAATAAGGGAATAAAAGTTATTTAAAATTAGACTTTTACCATTTTTGTTATTTTAATATGATTTAATTTTTTATTTATATTTTCTATTCAATGCCATTTAAAATAAAGGTCTTTAATTTTTATTTAAATAATTTATTTTTTATTTAAGACAATATTTTAAAAAATTATATTTTTTTGTCAAAATCATATGTGATTCACAGTTAATTTATTTTTTTCAATTTTTTTAATAATCACATATAATTTAAAGCATGAAAAACAGAGATTCAAATTAAATATTGAAAAAAAAATAACAAAAATCAAATCACATATGATGTGTAGCAGAACACAACACATTTAATATGTACAAGATCACATGTACTTCAGAATGTGATTCATAATTTACAAATATTAAATATAACCTATATTTCTTTTCCACTTAAATTTTACTATGATCAATATCACACGTGATATTTTGACGAAAATTAATACTTATTTTTTGGAAAAGAAATTGTTGATTAATTGTGGATATCACATGTGTTTTTTGATGAAAATTATAAAAAAATCTTAAATAAATTATTTCAATAAAAAATAAATATTTTAAATCAAAAACTAAATCATGCTTATTTTAAATATCAGAAGAAATAAAAGATTAATCATGCTTAAATCACGAAAGATTGTATAAAAAATCATAAATAAATACCTTAATTAAATGCATTAAATACCCTTTATAGAAATAAATGAATTTCCATATATAATCCACACACAACAAATGACACGTATAACTTTTTAAACGGAGTTTAAGAAAATTTTATTTAAGGAGCCGTTTACTAAATACTTACCCAGTAAGTGCAGATCGGGTAACTTTCCTCACCTGATGCAAATGGCAAGGACTGAAAATCTTGTCCGGTAAAAGCGATGATAGGGATAGAGAGTCTTACCCGGTAAGTGATGGTGATGACTCTTACCCATGTAAACATTTACCAGGTAAATTGTTGCATACGATACCGTTTTAATATATACTATAATCTTATCTGGTAAAATAGATTATAGTGTTGACTACTACCGGTAAGCACTTACCGGATAAATATTTATATAAACAGCCCCTAAGTCGCGATTCAAATAAATGATTGGCACCGAATCATTATCTTATTTAGTTACAATTCTCGTACGAACTTATTCAATTAATTTATAATAATAAAATATTGTCCTATTAAGATGATTTAATAATTATTTTGTATTTAAATGTATTTAATAATTATTTTAAAATAATTTATGTAATTTATTTTACATTATTCCTAAAAGAATTCTTGAAAATTTTGATTTCTTCTGGTAAACTGTCGCCTCTATAATCTCCTACATTTCAGTGCTTAACCAGTAAAAATAGTCATAGTAGCAGGTTCAAGAGTGTAACTTCCTCCTAAATAATCCCCCCCCCCCCCCCCCCCCCCTCCCCTCTCTCTCGATCTTGAATCGAACACACGATTCACAGGTTTTGATGAGCCAATTTCCATTCAAAGATTTGATTTTAAGGTAAACCCGTTTCTCATTTTGAGTTTGTGTTGCCATGGGATTAAATTAACCCATGAATTTGTTTGAAATTAATTGTATTTGCAGTATGGATGAAGTATTTCAGGAGATACGACTTGGATTGTGTTTTTATGTATATATATATATTTGAGTGAGTTGAGAGTTGCTTTGAATTAAAGACAATCGGCGCCCTTTAAAGGCCATCCTTGCTGTCATTTTCTGTTTTTTTATGAATGTGTCGTTTTTGCGGAGAATTGAGGGCATAGTTTTTTAGGATATATATACATATAAAATTTCGATTAAAAATAAGCAAATACAACAAGAACAAGATAGAGATAGAGAGAGCGAGAGAATGGTGTAGTCCAGTCAATCAATCATGGAGGAAATTTTGAGGCCATGAGGAGGTTTTTCTGAACCTTTCTTGTTCAGCGGTCTGTTTGATTTGGTGGGTATTTCGGATCTTTGTTTCTTCACCATGGTTTTTCCATTATTCTTTAACAAGTTTTTGTTCTTCACCTGGGATTAGAAGTTGATTTTTTTTCTCCTTCTTTAGACGTAGGTTATTTACAAATTAAAAGATTGTATCGGGTGTTGAAGATGTGAGTTTTCTGTTGTGGGTTACCCCAAATTTTTCTCAAGAGTTCTTGAGAACTTAAATATTCTTGTTTCTGTGGTCTTCTTTTTGAATAAAATATCTCTTGTTCTTCTACTGAATTGAATCAAAATTTTTAAAGATTGCATTCTGATCTTTGTTTTGTGTTCTTCCTTGTGTTGAAGATGTGAAATTTTATGCTTTTTTGCTCTTATAAATTCTCACACCAACTGTTTGTCAAAAAGTGCCAAAGAGCAAACATTAGTCTTATGGCTATCATAAATTAATAGTTGCTGCTATTTTTCCCTTTTCATCTTTGCTCTTCAAATATTTTCATTTCTCCCTTTATTTTTTTTACTTAAAATGGTATTTGTGGATATAGATATCTTTTTGCTAGTTAAGCTAAGAAAACATATCTGGTCTAAATTCATTTGTGGTATTCTTTTCAATCATGCTTTCCATGATGGAATCTTGTTCATACCATTTTTGCTCATAAAGTTGTAATTATGTTGTGTTTTCCTTTTCTTTTTGCAACTCATGGAATCAAATGCCTTCAAGGGTATGTTTGGAAACTCTAATTCCATGACTTGGATTTCGAATTAGAAAGGAAATAGGATCAAAAATTGAACCAGAAATCCTCTATATTCGAAATCCAAGCCTCAATTTACAGGGTCCCAAACACCCACCTCATGTTTCTTTGCATTTAGCTGTACAGCAACTCCTTTGTGTTTATCTACTAGCATCACTGCCTTACTGGCCATCACCTTGCAAGTCCTCTTTTTGTTTAATTTAATTTTATTATTATTTTGATTAATTTCAGGGTACTGTTCACTTTGTGCACTAAGAAAACAATTTTTATGAATATATAGCTCTCTTTTTGTTCAATTATACATAATCATGTGCTACAGTTGTCCAAAAAAGCTGTCTCTATTTGGGCTATATTTTCATTCTTCTTATACTCATGAATTTGTTCAATGCTCCTACTTCTTGATTATCCCATGTAATAAAATCATAATATGTTTTTTTTTATTTAGTGTTATTTGTTATGGTCTATATTTTGTTGAAATTTTCTTTTCTTTTTCTCAAGAATTTCATTCAGTTATTATTGACATTTGAATAAGTAGAAGCTGTTTTAGATTTCTTTCCATGAATTGTGAATTAAAGTTTGTTTTTGTGTTAGGTGTTAATCTAAGATGGACTTTTCAGAATCTACGAAAACCGTATATGATAGGATCCAAAAGATAGAACCCGAAAACGTCTCCAAGATTATTGGGTATCTTCTTTTGCAAGATCATGGTGAGAGAGAGATGATAAGACTAGCCTTTGGCCCTGATAAGTTAATACACTCTTTGATCAGTAAGGCTAAGACCCATCTCAAATTACCGTTCAATACAGCCTCTTGTCGGCCACTTTCCCCTCCTCAGGTCAATTCCATCCCCGAAATGCCCATACGCTTCACACCATTCTCTCCTTCAGCTCGACGTTCCCCGTCAACCCTCCAAGTCCCAACTCGCTGTTTTGATCCCCATGGTCAACCTGTGGACTATGTTCCTATGGTTTACCCGGCTTCATTTCCTGATGATTATCGCCTGCACAACCAACTTCGTTTCTTGTCCTTGGAAGACCAGATTGAGTCGGTGAACAGCGCAGAATTTTCAACTAACAATTACTACTCATCAGAACCTGCATTAGGTCCTAGAGCTAATAGGAGGTCACCAAGTTTGCCTGAATTCCCTTTCAAAGTTTGCCATTACTTCATTAAAGGATTTTGTAGGCATGGAAACAACTGCAGGTACTTGCATCCTACTGCTGAAAGCTTCTCCCAGATCTTTAGCCCTGGTTTGAGTGAGGACGATCATGTCTTTTCACCTGGATCTCTCGAAAAACTAGAGTTAGAGCTCACCGAGCTCTTGAAATCAAGAAGAGGGTTCCCTGTCTCCATAGCTTCTTTACCAATGCTATATTATGAGAAGTTTGGTAAGACACTGCAGGCTGAGGGATATCTCACTGAGAGCCAGAGACATGGCAAAGCTGGTTATAGCTTAACCAAGCTTCTTGCACGGCTTAAGAGCATTTGTCTCATTGATAGGTCGAATTCTTCAACCATCATCACCTTCATTCTTGTTAATTTATTTTCTTTTTGCAATCTTTCATGTTTTTTAACTCCCTTTATTGTGTTGCGTTGATATCATGTCACAGGCCTCATGGGCAACACGCAGTCGTTTTGGCTGATGACTTGGCAAAATGCACGGATCATAACGGAGATAGAAATGAACATGGTGGTATTGTGGCAGGTTCTAGACAGATATATTTGACATTTCCAGCTGAGAGTACCTTCTCGGAGCGTGATGTTTTCAACTATTTCAAGTAAGGAGTGTGTTATAGTAGAAACTTTATGTATACAATGTGTGACATGATTCAGTTTTATTACATGTATATATATGACTTGACATTTTGATTTTTTTTTCTTTGATTTGTTATGACAGCAAATTCGGGCCTGTCCATGATGTGAGAATTCCTTGTCAGCAAAAGAGAATGTTCGGATTTGTGACTTTTGTCTTCGAGGATACAGTTAGGCATATTTTAAACAAGGGAAACCCTCATTTCGTAAGCGGTGCACGTGTTTTGATCAAACCTTACCGGGAAAAATCTAAGGCGGATGATAGGTAGGAAATTCGTGATTTATTTCTGTGTCTTCTTCAAATATTTCTCATCCATTGACATGATACATGATATCGTTCCTTGCTAGAATATATCGTCCTCGAAATCCCTAGGTTTTGAGTTCTACGAATTCCGCCTTCATCTATCCTAAATCTCATTGTTTAGTGTTGATGATCATTGAAATCACAAATTCACTCGCACACACACAGATGTATATGTATATGTGTGTGTGTGTGTGTGTGTCTTGGTCCCATCTATTCTTGTTTCATAATTGTGTTCATCTTGGCCCATTGTATTGGTTTTCTTGATCCATGAAAGACCTAGAATCGCTCAGCTTATAGCACACATCGTCCATGAAGCGAGCAACATTTGGCATGCCCATGTCCCTCATCCATAAACTTCCTTGTCATTCCCATGCGGTCGTGCGAAATTCAAAGCCATATTTGGCAAGCCAGTGTCACTCATCCAAAATTCTTTCTGCCACTGCAACTCCTAACTTCTTTTCTATACTCTCAGATCCCTTTGATCCAACATGTGTAATTCACTACCAGTCTTCACCTACCCATCTTTCTTATTCTTAATTTATACATAGCTTCTATCCGATTCTCAGTCCATCATTGTTCAACTATTTAACGACAATAAGAATTACTGGTCGTTGTTGGACGTCATACACTTCAAGATTACATTTTAATTCAATCGTTGTTTCCTAGCTTTCCCTAGGTTGGACATCGGCAATATTTGGGTATGATTTTCAAGCTGAATTTTGTATAAATCTGATCAGGAAACATGGAGAGATGTTTCAGAATCCTATGTGCCAAGGTGCTCACTGTCTTGATACCGAACTTGGGCTGCATTCAAGTGAGAAGCATACGAAATTGTTGACATATTTTCATGCAGCAATCACTTTCGTATTAAATACCATCCAACTCTTTTTAAATGATGCAGTGCCCAGAATTTGTGATAATTCAAGATTACTCGATAAGCAGCTGATTCATGAACAACAAGAACAAGCACTTGAATTCGAGAGAAGGCGTTTCTCAGAAATGCAATTAGCAGCTGATCCTAATAATCAATTGGCATGTTTTGCAACCTCACTCGAAGAGTTGAAGCTTTCAGAAGGTAGTAAATTTTTCAAGCACTTGATTCAAGTTTCCATCTTTCTTATCATTTCCCTCTTTCGTTATGTGTTCGTAGGCAATTCTCATGCACAACAGATGGATTTTCCCACAGCAGAGCAGTTTAATTATCTTCTGGATGTTCTGAACAGTAGGGAGGAAACAATTAGACAGATCAATACCAAATACAATGAGCAGGAGAGGTATGTTTTGCAATAACCAATGTTTCTCTTCCATGGACAAGGTCTGGGCTTTTTCGGGCTTTTCAAAAAAGACTTGGCCCGATTGGGCTCTTAGGCCTGGGCCTGGACCTGGGGTTCGGGCTTTTTGTGCATTTCTAGTTCCATTCCATCTATGCTCATCTTGATACTAGAATGTGTTTGGTTAAAATGCAGTAGTCAGGGACTGAATCTTCCAGACAGCCCGTTTGCATCTGCATTAGGGGGCGAAATATCGACAGTTATATAGTATGTTTCTGGATAGACAACAGGAGCAGGTTTTATTAGAGTTAGAGATGAGAAGAAGGCCATTTTCAGAGGGTTGGATATACAAAGTTCATATATATATATAGAGAGAGAGAGAATGTTGAAGAAAAAGGGTAGAGTAACAGTAAAGTTTATGTTTTTAAGTTTTTAGTTTGGTGATCCATTTGTTGGAAAGAAGAGAGAATGTAAGTATAGCTGAGTGAGTCTGAAGAAGAGAGGTGGCTTAATTAAAATAGAAAGCAAGTGGTAGAGGTTTAAAGATTAAAAGTGCAGAAAAGAATGATATGCATCTTTGATGTATTACTCCACATATATATATATATAATAAAAGGCTTAGTTTATACAGAGTCATGCCATTTTTTGCTGTTATCTTATTGCTTTGCTGAATTGGTGGTGGTGGGAATTGCATTTATGGTTGTACTTTTTGCATTAGTAGTTGTACCTTGCATCGTGTTACGTTTCGCATGACGGGTTCCTTAGAACTCGGAATAATGTGGATCGTTCAAGAGAGTGACGGAACGTTGGAGAAAGATAAAGAAGAGTCGAGCATGTTCCACAAAGATTCACATCTTTCTAAGATTGTTTTATCCGAAGCTTTCTTGTAAATATTCAAATAGAACAGGTTGTCTGTAGAGTCTGGTTTTTTGAGAGATTAAGGGGTTCAAACTTTAAGAGCGTGTGTGAGTATTTATGTTCGTTTTATGATTGTTTAGCATTTTAAAGGACGGACATGAACAAAGTTGTCTTAACGAACGAACATAAAACAAAAAATGTGTTCGTTTATTTGGTTAAAGTTAAATGAACGGACGTAAAGAAATATTCGTTCAGTTCGTTTACAACCCTGTCCGCATCGGATTTGACACCATTTTAACATCTCATAGTCCTAAGTAGAGGTGGCCAAAATTCGGTCCCGGGCCGGGCCTTAACGGGTCCCTACCGGGCCTAATCGCGACAAAAACCGGCGGTAACCGGTCCTGACATAACCGGTCCCGGTGATTTTCCTTGTAACCGGTCAAGGTTATTAGTAACCGGTTGTCCCAACCGGTCCCGGTCCCGGTCCCATAACCGGTCCCGATCGGGCCTATTCAAAAAAAAAATGATTTTTTTTTAAATTTTTGGTTATTAATAAATTTTTAATATGTTATTAATATGTTTGTAATATGATATTTTGAATATGTTTTATTATAAATACATTTTACTATAAATACGTTTTGTTATATATATATATATATATATATATATATATATATATATATATATATATATATATATATATATATATATATATATATATATATATATATATATATATATATATATATATATATATATATATATATATATATATACACGTTTATAAATACGTTTTGTTGTAAATACGTTTAAAAATACACAATAAAAATACGGTTTATTATATATATACGTTTCGTTGACCGGGCCGGGCTGGGCCGGGCCTATAACCGGTTACATAACCGGTCCCGGTCCCAAAAAACGTCAAAAACCCTAACCGGATCATAACCGGCGGTCCCTCAACCGGTCCCGGTCGGTCCCGGTCCCTCTCCGGTCCCGGTCCCGGTCCTCCGTCGGTTACGGGCCGGGCCGGGCCCATTTGGCCATCTCTAGTCCTAAGCAGCAAATTAACTAATCCAATAACCTTTAAATCATTTTAAAATCATGGATAAAGTTATTGATAGTCAACAACTTTAAATTTATAAAAACCTCACAAATCTACTTTTCTATTCATATGAAAACAAGTTGTGACGACTTACCTATTTATGTTAATGTTTTAACCGGTTAACCGGGTACTTATATATTTAAAATTTTACATCTTAGATACCAAAACGAAAGTTCTAAAAATACGTTACCTATGATAAAAATCAAGTTAAAATACATTACTTTTTCATACAATTTATAGATATAAAAGTTTATTTATTTAAAATTATTTTATAGATTTTGTGTTAATATTAATATTAAAAAATCATAACCGAAAAACAGAATATTAAAGTAAAAAAAGAAAAGCTCCGCATTGAAACCTAATTACACGACATATGGGCTCCATCTAAACCCTATGCTATGAGCCTCTTTACTTTATATCATATATTTTTTTTGTTTTAAATGAAATTGGTTTTTGATCCAAAAACCACAAACATTTGGTCGGGTTTACGTGGAGGGTAATATCGTCATTTACTTAAATCACGACACTTGAATGATAACAAGTTTTGTGATAAAGTATCAAGTCGTTTACCATATGTTCACCAGGTAAAAGGTCAGCAGCAAGAGTGATCATCCTTACTCATCTTATCGGGTAATATTATCGGTCCTTGTTCATAAACATTTTTTATTCTGTAAACGTTTATCCAGTAAGAGCTTTTTATCCTCATTTACCACGATAATTATTGGTTCTTGTCATACTTATCCAGTAAGGTAAATAACGACCGATAAACATTTGATAAATGTCCAAGTATAATGACTAATAAGGTAGGTAATGACCCATAACCAGATATAATTATCAGTTCTTGTCATATCCGTTTTATAAATCTAAAAGAACATAAAAGTCATAAAGTACAATGAAGAGATGAAAAATGAGTGAGGTAGGGGACATCATGAAACCAAACGTGTGATTATTCACGAAGGGGACATTGTTATTAATAATGAATAAAAAAGGGAATAAAAGTCTATATTTCTTTTTGTTTTTTTGTCTTTTTTATTTTGACATTATCATTTTTTTTATTTACTGTTCTTCTAAATAATTATCAGTTATTAGTTGTGTATCCATGCAATGCGGCGGGAGCCGCGAATTTTAACGATTTTGAAGTTTCACTGGTTTTATTAAAGAAGATTTAACGATGATATAAGTTACACTTAGTCTTTACATATTCATACATTTTGAAAAAATAAGAGTTATGGTTCCAATTACAGTCTATTGATGAAAAAATTTGTATGACAGTTTAAAATCCAATATCTTTAAAATCTAACACATTTAAAGGACTCCACAAATGTGTTCGATTTACACCAAGAGCAAAGAACCATGAGATCGAGAGCAAGACCAAGAGTTCTAGAGCAATTGAATGAGAGATGAATGAGAAAACTTTTAATAACTCATGGTAAATATCAGTTTGAATCTCACCTTAGGGGATGGGGAGAAGACATAGAGGTATGATATGTTGAATACATGAGTAAAATATGCCAAAAGTATCTTGAGAACATGAAAAGAAAAGATAATCATGTACATTGGTAACTTATAATATATGTTATTTTAATTGTAAATTAAGAGATTTTAAGATTAAATGCATAAAGTAATAGTATTTAATGCATTATGAGTTGTTTTTAAAACTTTTAAGACTTTGTGCATAAATGTATAGTAATTTGTGTATTAAAAATTGTTTTTAAGACTTTTGATAAATCTGATTTATAAAATAATATAGATAGAATAGAAGAATAAAATGTATATAAATTTTGAAAAAATAAAAATAAATGATTTAAAAAAAATGTA